CTAGAAGAGGAAATGGTCAATCTCAGACGGTGCCTGTGGCTTAATGGAGTAGGGCGCCGGCCCCATATACTGGAGGTGGTGGGTTCAAACCTGGCCTTGGCCAAAAATGGCTACAGCAAAGAATGTAGTAACATTCAATAAAACAAGTGTTTGAAGAAAAAAAAAAGAAAAGAAATAGCCAATCTCCAACATTTCTTCTAGGAAAAATAATAGTATCTATGAGAATTTTGGGGGGAGCCAGAAGGAGATATAAAAATGCCATGATTTTAGCCAGCTTTTATAAGATCCCAGTCTAAGAGGAATATACTACCCCATGCTTGTGAAAAAGAACAGTATTGTATGGCTCACACTTGTAATCCTAGCGCTCTGGGAGGCCAAGGTGGGTGAATTGTCTAAGCTTAACAGTTCAAGACGAGCCTGAGACAGAGTGAGACCTCATCTCCAAAAAACAGCTGGGCATTGTGGTCGGCACCTGTACTCCCATCTACTTGGGAGGCTGAGACAAGAGAATCGGTTAAGCCCAAGAGTTTGAGGTTGCTGTGAGCTATAATGCCATAGCACTCTACCGAGGGCAATAAAGGGAGACTCAGTCTTTAAAAAAAAAAAAAAAAGAATAGTATTATAAAACAGCAAAAGGAAAAACAGAGATGTCAGAAACAATGATGGATCATCTATAACGAACAAATATAACTTCCAACAAAAACTGAAAGGCCTTGTATTTGGGAGACTCTCTGTCTCCATGAAGCTGTCATAGTAAAAAGAGAGAATTAATAGGTAAGCGAACAAGTAAGAAAATTACAGAACGTGACAAACACTATAACAGAAGTGACATCATAGTCACAGGTCAATTCTAGACAAAACAGTCATCCACAAGAAAAGTAAAGCTGACATCAAAGGGTAAGAAGTGCAATGTTATGCGAAGAACATTCCAAGATAAGGGAATAGTCAGTGCAAAAACCCAGAGAAAGAAAAAGCTCAAGCATGATCAAGAAATATAAGAGAAACTTGGTGTATTTGGACTCTCCTGAGCTTGAGTGAAGTAGAAAACTAAGTTTGACAAGGTTGGCAGAATTAAGAACATAGAGATTTTGTAGGAAGACTTGGTTAGAAATTGGAATTTATCATGATTACATTAATGTACACAGCTATGATTTAATCAAAATAAATAAAAAGAAAAAAAAGAAATTGGAATTTATGCTAAGAACAGAAGCAGTAATCCATCAAACATTTTTTTGGCAAGAAAACATGTTTGGAATTGATACTTCCAAAAAGTCACATGACTATTCTAAGGAAGAAGAATTGGAGATAAAAATTACAGGATAGGCAGGAGACTATAATGGAGTTCATACAGTCTGAGCATAAATAATTACAATGAGGATGGAGAAATGTGAAAAACAAACACAAGTACAGAAAAGGAAAATACAACATGTAGAGGAGAAAAAGATAAGACTAACTGTTAGAATGAATGTTGGGAGCAGAAAGGGAAGAAGAGCGGAATAGCTTCTCACTAGGTGGCTTCAGCCTCTATGCAGGTGCTGGTGCCACTTAACAAAATGAGGAAAATTAGAACTTAGGTCTGACATTTGAGGGGAATCAAGTGCTCCATTTAAAGCTCATCTGGTTTGAAACGGATAATACATATTCAACAGATAATGTGAAGTACCCCAGGAGATCTGAGAGTCGAGGAAGTTCTAGACTTAAGATAACAATTTTAAGTCATAAGAATATGTGTACGAACACTAAATATTTGGAACTAAAAGGGACTAGACGAGATCACTTAGGAAAGATGAAGAAAGAAAGCAAAATCCAGCTATTCGTGGAAATTATTTTATCATGCTTATAAAAACAGTACTTTATTTTCTCTGAAATGCTTTGTAAAACAGTCTCTATTTGATAAATCCCTTTGCATAGCCTTGCAGTACACAAAATGTCTCATTGTCAAACGCTCTTAAGTTTTAAAATCTTATGCACCTATGTCCTTCATTACACTATACTCTCTCTTGCAGCCTATTAGAATGCTGGGTTTTCAACTACAGGAGTCAAAGCAGAATCCCCTGAAAAGCCTTTCTGACTTCACATGCTCAGGTCACTCCCCCTATCTAGAAAATCAGAATCTCAGGAGACATAGCCTGTAGTTTGAAAATGCTCTGACATAGTCTACACACTTCATGATTAAAAAACAAAATTGTGGAGC